GCGTGCCCTTAACTGGTCGCCTTTTTTTACCTTTTTTAAAGGTGAGTTTTTAGAGATTATATCATTCATTTTTGTATATGATATAATAACATTACCGCAATGCCATGACTCTGTGTATGTTTTACTGTTTAGACGTTTTGATGCTTTAATCAAAGATACTTGATTCTATATATATGTTTATACATAATTTAAGAAATATTTTCAATATCTTAAATCATTTCTTTCCTTATTTGCAAACATGTTTCAAATAATATTTGATATCATAGCTTTAAAAGATATGTATTAGAACACGTATTATCATATTAGCACAAATGCGTAATATCATATACGATAAATATAAAATATATTTTATTACTGCATATATTACTTTAATGCAGTTTACTTTATAAAGTATCTCGTTCGAGTACTCGTTATTTGGGATCATATTATTGCTTTATATGATAATATAATTGTGTAAATGATATTTTATTGTACCGTATGATCATATAATTTTAATTGATCAAGTAAAATATAAAAAATATTTTCTTATTAAATATAATATATATATATATATATATATAATTAGACTTAAAAGCTTGATTTGATTTACTAATATTTATCACGAACATCTGTTTAAGAGAGTTATGCCGGAATATAATTCTGTGATATGATCTATATTAATTTGATCAATTTTTTTTAAATAATATAGTAATAAATATTAATAAATATAATAAATATTAATTAATAAATATTAATAGATATTAATAAATTTATAATTTTATAGTATATAAAACTGAAGATATAAAGAAAATGGAATACAAATAAATATTTTTTTCCGTCAAGCTATCACTACATTTTGCACATGTCTAGTGGATTTTAGTAATTATCTTAATTATTTTATATCATATTAATATAATCATTTTTGTTATTATATTGACTTTTAATTTAATCATCCCTTTTATGAATCAAAATTTTGCAATGTAAAAAGACGAACATAACGTTGAATAGTAAATCGTAAAAAATTAAATGTGAACTTGTGTGCATGTATGTGTATTGCTATTTTTCATAAATATTAAAGTGATCACAAATTTTGTTTGTAACAGCTCTTTTCTCAAAACTCGACACATAAGCCTGAATAATACCTTTTTCAACAATAGAAACTATATTATAGTGAATAAAGGAATACGCAAAAATTTTGTATAATGATATGTATTATGTATTATACATAATTATTCAAAAACGTTTGTTACAACATTTTATACTTTTCCGTCTTAAGAGAATATATATATTTATTAAACAAAGTTGTATATTGTACGTCCTGTTTCCTTAAAATATCATAGAGATTAATTTAATAATCTTGTCACATTCTGTTGTAATTAAATATTCGTTATTATTAAGTCAATTACAATCGTGGTCATTTTAATATAATTAATTTTCAATTCTCACTCCTTTACAATTGATGCTGATTTTCGTTGGCCTACTGAAATTCTTCATTTCTAAGTGCAGCCAAAAATTTGCCACATATATGCTAGCATGGTTCGGTGATAGCAGAGTGTATACATATTTACTAGTAAAACCTGTAAGTTTTCCCGCGTATTTATATTTTGTAGCAATCAAGCAAATATGATCAAATTTCTCAGCAGACAAATTATATTCTTCAACAATCGTTGATTATTTGCAATGCATGACGTGACCTGATCACGCTGAAAAAATATTAGTTATAAAACAGATGTAGTTCCTATTAGTTAATTATGTATTGCAGAATCATGCAAACGCAGCAAGACTAAAGAATATAATATAATAAATTGAATAATATAATTGTTCAATAAAAAAAAGATACCACTGAATTAATGTCAGCAGAAGGCTCTTGATGTAATTGGACTTGTCTGATGATATTACTTAGTGAATAAAGTTTATTATACATATCTACTGTCGCGAGTTCTAATCTATTTAATATAGAATTAAAATCGAGAGCATTATCGTTTAGCTTTTGCATTTGCTTTATTTGCTTATATACATCTTGGCAAAAATTTGAGTCGATTAGTAGAATATCCATTTCTTCCATACGCGTGGATTCTATATAATTACAACTAATATGTAACATGACATTGTAGGGAATGTAACCTACATACATGTTACATGCAAAGAGGTTACATGTCATCAAATCTGACATCTGATCTGACACATATACCTAACATCATAGATCATGGAGCGACATACTATCGCCGTCTGTTGTAAACGTGCGAGATGGACATTTCCAATACATGCATCTATTCATGTGTTGTGTACGTGTGATATATGTGTGCGCATGTGTTGTATACGTGTGAATACGTGTAGCACGATACTACTATGTATGCGTGGTCGATGATGATAATATAATGATGACGGGGACGTTTCTTAAAAGAAATTTTTCATATTTCGACTTTGCACTTATATATCTCTGCTTACAATCACGTAGAGCAGAAATAAAGACACTTTTATTATATAATTCAAACTCAATCTATCGATTAAGTCTAGTATAAACTTGATTGCTTCAGCCGTTATTGAGAATTCGAAATATTATAAAGACTCAAATGTCCGACTCGCGTGAAGATACACGTGTCTCCGCTACGCCCTTAACTGGTCGCGAGACACTACCGTGTCTCTTGATAATATGTTAATATTACTGCATAGTACTCCCAGATAGCCAGTTGCCCACAGGTTGCTGTCAAATTGCTCGAATTTATTGCTTAAGTTGTTTTCCATATTGAGGAAAGCGGCTTCCGATTTTGCCTATTGAATTGCTGTCTTTTTATTGGCACCAACAGTTGAAAGCAATTTGATGGCAACATGATGGCAACAGTTGCTTTTTAAAAATGAATTATACGAAAATTGGTGGAAACTAATGGACAACATGATAAAAACAATTTCCGTCTCCAAAACATTTACTAGTACTTTGATGACATTTTAAAGGAAACCGTTGCCGTTAATAAAAGACTAAGGATTTTAATAGGTTATTCGCTTTCACAAAAATTTAATAAATTATATAAGGCTTTTAAATACTCGTAGCAGTAACAATGTAATTGTAATGTCAAAGAAGAGAAGTGACATTACAATTACATTGTTACTACTACAAATATTTAAAAGCCATATATAATTTATTAAATTTCTGTGTATATATATTTTACATATATTTTATTATAAATTTAAAACAAAAAAGTGTATACGCAATATGTTTAGAATTATATATAATATATATATATTTATTTAATAAATGTTTGTTGCTAACACTTCGTATGTAAAAAAAACTAAAAAGAAACTTGTATTAAAAAATATAAATTCTAAATCTGTATTATAAATATGTATTAGCATCATAAAATATTTGCTTTGGTTTTTATATTGTACTAACACTAATTGTAAGTTTGTAAGCAGCCTCTTTTAGGTACATATAGGTATTCATATATTATATTGCTATTAATATATTGCTATTAATATTTATATATTATATTGCTATTAAAAATATCAATTATTAAAGTCTAATAAAAAAATTTTAAAAATAAAGAATCAAACTTATTAATAGCAATCTAATATATATACGTATATACTAGACAAAACGTAGAAAAATTTATAATTCATCAGAGTGCTCGTCGCTATCGTTTTCATTTTCTGCGTATGTAATGTGCTCGCCGCTATCTTCGCTTTGATTTCCATCATCTTCGTGATTGCTAACGTTTTCATCATTATACAATGCATCTGCAGCAGCCTGCAAGTTTCTTCGCCTCCCTTGAATTCCAGGATGTCTTTCTCTGGCATTTCGCAAACGTTGTTTTGCAACTTTTATAGATGCCACAACTTCTTTTTGAAATTCTTCTCTGGTTGGTTTAAGGTAGTACCGATTCGATCCTACGGCTTCTGAAAAATAATAGATATAATATTTTTGGTATCACAATCAATATTGTATAATAATGACAACGGAATAACAAATATACATATGTGCTGTATACATACGGTAAATCGCTTGACATAAAACTGTATTGTAAAATGGGAATTTAACATCAGGAACACCCCACCATGTCAGTTCCGTTGCTACTTGCATTGTTATAGATTCTTTTACACATTGATGCACGCTGTCTTTTAACGTCATACAATTTAAAAATTTGAAGTAGTTTACCTACAAAACCTAATTATTACAAAAATAAAAACTTAAGCTAGTATATATATATATATATATATATATATATATATGCTGTCTAATATATTTTGATATAATTATAAAACGCAATAATTCCGTAAATGCTTCGATTTGTAATAAAAATAATTTTCTATGTAATAATAGAATCACGGTGATTTATAGAAAATAAACATAAAAAGAAATTAATAAAATACACGTATACACCATTAATTAGTTCCCGATCTCTATAGTTGATATAGAATATGTTACATATCCTATATCGACTTGCTAAGGACTTGAAACGAATTAATGACGAGTACCGTACATACATATATGCATATTAAAGTGGAGCGAATTTAACTAGTGTAGTTTTCCTTGCTTTTTTCTCAAAATCGTTTATTTTAGATATCTGAAGATCAAGTCTGAGATAACTAAAATTTTTTACCGCCGTTATTAACCTAAATTAGCACTAATTGTAATGCAACAATTAATTTAAATCCTAATTTATTGATTTAATATTATAACATTCAAAAGCATTATTTTACAAAAACTTTTTTTCATCTAGGAAGCTAACAATGAAGTCGCACATGACAACTGAGCTTTTGTGGACTTTATATTATTCTAAAAAAGCATTCATTCCACACCCTGGCATTCGCAATTTCGAAAATAACTTAAAAACGCTCCACCCTAATGCATATATTGTATATGTGTGCATGTATGTGCGTGTGTGTAAAATTGTAAAATATTAATTTAACTTACGACTTCATTGTAAAGAACCCTGTCTTCCTTTGTGAACCTTTTTATCGCATCTTTGAAAATGGGAGGATTCGCGGTTTCATGGGCATTGCATTTATAATATTGCCATCGATTTTTCTTCTAGCGAATCCAATCGCCTATTTATTCCTCTGAAATTAATAAATTATAATTAATAATATATCATGTCAAGTTTAAAAATCAAGATATAAATCTTTTCTTAAAAAAAAAACTTGTAATTTTTGAAAACCTTCATAAACTATTACAAACTATCAGAAAAAAAATAAATATATATCATTTAAATCAGAATTATTATCTACTTGTTAATAATTAATAATAAAAATATATATAACGTACTGTATTTTCTGCTGTATGTCGCGAAGTATTTCAATTTGTACATCATTTCCTTGTCTCAGTAATGGTGCATTGTTTTCCTCTTGAAGTGGTTCAACTGATACTGTATTTTCCACCTCTTGTGTATGATTTGAGTCTTCTGATGGATTGTTGAATGTAATATTTGAGAAGATTGCTGACAACGTGGTTGTACATTGTTTAAGAGCTGTCTATTATCATTTCTTAAATTTTGAATATTACCTAGCTGAACAGCTGGTTGTCTAATGTTTTCTGTTATAATGTTTGATTCTTGCAGGATTTTACGTTGAGAACTATTTCTATTAATGCTGAATTGTCGTGACGGAATACTTGTATTATTCGCATTAACTGAATGAAAGTTATTAACAGTTTTTCGGTGCATAGCTTGTGCAAAATTGCATACTGTGTTTTCTTCAGTATTATTTGAAACATTTTGAAACGTAGTACGGATATTCTGCATAACAGATGAAACTTTGTTCTTCGCTGTTTCTTCATTAATACGCTTAGTCTTTTTAGCTCTTACTTCCTCTTCGCTCGAAGTAGTTCTATATCGAGGTGGCTTTTTCAAAGACCTTTTTGAAAATCGTGTGGATCTAAAAGATAAGAATAATAAGAATGTTATTGCGATAATTAGCATAAAGTAACAAGTATGTATAACAAACCTGCAGATATTTTAAGATGATTTATGAGATATAGTAGGTCATATCTAACAATTCTTTAAGGCAAAAGTTTATGATCACTTTCGATAGGTACACAAATTTATTATTATTTACATATATATAATTATATTATAGAGAGCATATTTTTAATATACATATTTTCTAGTATATTAATAAATTATTAATATTATTAATAATAATATAAAAAAATAGATTGTTTTATTCATTATTATTGCATTACTGCAACGATAAATTCATCTTGTACTATTTTATCTTGCATTAATTCATTACTAGGGAGACAAGTAAAATGAGGCATTCTAAAACATTTTGCTTTTACATCTTGTAATAAGATAATATCATAATTATAAGTTAATTCAGAGCATTTATAAATACCGGCAAAAGATGAACTAATGCCAATATTGAAAAAATCTACTACTTGCTGAAATTTTTAACAACAATAAAATAATCATTTTTATAATGCAAAATATTTTTTACGCAACATATACTTGAATCTGATAAAATGCAACAATCATCGCGTGCACAAACACCAATTGTCATATCCGGAGTTTTCAAAAATTTATATTGATCATATATTCTAGAATCAGCGTCAGCAAAAGGTAATGGACCTTCCTCGTGTTTTTTCCACACTTTTATACAATTATTCTGTACAATAAATTTCTTTTTGCACTGCTCTTTCTCTGCATGTCTTGCAGCAATTTGCTGCAAGGAAAGATGTGGTTTTCTACACATTTTTCTGAAAAAAGCCATGCTGTTTTCGTATGGAAATGCTGAATAACTGTCTAAAGGGCCAAATCGGAGTACATCTTCGACCAAATGGAGAATTCCGTGTATATTATATGACAAAAAAGTTAAGCCATAAATGTGTTCACAGAGTAACACAAATTTTTCGATAGCCATTTCAGAAAAAACTAGATTTCTATTCGTATTATATACCAATGAAACAAGAATGCGCATGGATGTATGGAAAAGTAAAAAATAATCATATATGTAATCCTTAACAACTTCTTTAAAGCATACTATTCCAATATATAACATAATTTGACGCCATTGAGTGGCTTTAAATTGATCATAGTCGTTAAGTGATTCAACGCGGCGTGCAAATTCTCGTGGACAGTGTTTTGAGAGAATCTTTAATCGATTTGAAATAATTTTAATTTGGATTCCCGATAATTTGACGTTTTTTGTACAATCCCCACGTATCCATGTCACGATTAATTTTTTCATAACTCCTAGGCAACACATATGCATATATTCAAATACAACATCTTAACCATATCAAAAGGTAAATGAGATAATGGACTTGAACATTTATGATGTTCCTCATCAATTTGTTGTCTATACTCTTCATGTATACGTTGCCTATGCTTAATTCCTCTCAATACCGTACATCTTCCAATACCAAATCCGTTAATTGTACATTTTGAGCATGGATTAAAAGAACGGTGACTCTTATGTCCTAAAATAAATGTTCTAGCTGGTGCATCTCTGATAAAACATCGCAGTTTTATTGAGAACTTTTTATCTTTAAAAATGATACCACCTTCATTAAAAATTTCATGAAAATCTGAGTTACAATATTGGAAAAACTCTTCTGCACTCTTAGGTTTTTGTGAACCTTTATACACTCCTATAGTTTTTGGAATAGATTTTGGAATATTAACAATTCTGCATTGAATTGGCCAAATATCATGTTTTCCATTTCTATATAATTGTGCTCCATCCGTACTAATGTCAATTTCGAGAACTTCGGGAATTGATAAAAAATGTGTTTCTTCAAGAATCTGGGCTAAACATTTTTTTACCCCAATATGTAAATATTCTCCTGGCTCAACTTTATATAAAATTGAGGAGTGCCGTGGCGTCAAAAGTAATGATCTAATATCTATAGGTAAAAATGTAAAGCAATCATGAGTTCTTAGAAGTTTTAAAATACGATTGCCGAGAACATGATTTGCGTCAACTAGAACAGCTGCTAAATTCTTCTGAAATATTACCGTATTACAAGTATTTCTAACTTTAACCCCGTCTATATTGTCTGTATATAAATGAGAAGATTGTTCCTTTGTAGAAAGTTGCACAATTGAATTAAAATGAGTGTCTTGTACAAGATGATTTACGTTGCAGTCATTAAAATGTTGAACTTTATTTTTAGCATAGATATTTTCAGAACAATCATTCTCTATCAAAAGTGATTTTGTTTTTTTTTATTATTTGTTTTCGACGAGCTAATCTTAATCTTTGTTGCCTTCTCGATACCATATGAAGAGGCTTATAGTAACGCGACTGGCCAGCTTCCAATTGAAAATTTTTCATTTTTATATTAAATCCAGATCTATTATACAAAACAGATATAAAATGACTTATTACATGTAATTATTACAATCTAGCCTTATTCAGCAAATATTTTAAAATTGTTTCTAAAATAATTATTTTAAATAATTGTTTTAAATTTTTATGCATTAAATTATACTGATTATACTGAATTAAAGCACATAAAGTAAAACATACATTATTATCATATTTCTTTGTTATAAAAATTTTAGAAGTGTTAGTAAAATTTATAAAATATATATAACAAAGGAATATAATAACGATATATGCTTTTGTTTTACCTTTCAAGTATATAGAATTACATAAAATACGTAAATATTAACTTTTTAAGGAAAAAAGCTACACATAGAATTAATTTCTTTATCCTACGTGTTTTATGCTAAAAAGACTATAATAAATTTTTATAAAAAAAACTATAAACTTCTATAAATGTAAATAAATAGTAACGTAATAAATTTCTGTCTTTTTAAAGAAGCTAATAAAGAAATTATTAATATATAAAAAAAATATGAACTCTAAATTTTCTATGTCAAAAAATACAGAAATCTGTTATAAATAATCAGTATTCAAACAATGTAAATAAAATGACTGTTAACTTAACTTTAAATTATTTGTTTTGATTTTTATTTTATTGTAACATCAAATTTTTAAACAGCTTTTACTATAAACATATATTTCTATAGACATGGTTATATATATATAATATATTTATATATATTTTTTAATAACACACACATATATATGCGTACAAAAACATATATCTGCAGTAGCTGTTTAAAAATTTGGCGTTACAATATACAATAAAAATTAAAACAAATAATTTAAAGTTAAATTAACAGTCATTTTATTTAAATTGTTTGAAATTGTTAAGTTATATATATTTCAAACTCAAAAAAAGTTTATTATTTGTTCATCACAAATCATTTTTATTGTTGCACTGGCTGAACTATTAGTTCAGAGTTTATCTTTCTCTTTTCAATATAAAGAGAAAAAGATAATCTAGTCTTGCCTATCAAAGTGCATTCAGCACAGCAATAAAAAACAGCAGAGCTTATGTCAACTAATGCAATCTAGTGTAGCTCGTATAACAATAAAAACAACAATGTAAATAACTTATTGCGACATCGTACAGTAAATCTCTTCTAATAGTTTCTGATACACAATTTCTGATACACTCTTGATTACGCTTATTTCACATATATCTACAATTATAAAAAGTACACAATTAGCATATACAATATTCAGTTTACTCGCATTGCTCGCACTTCTAGCATCTAGATTCTTTGGGTTTATTTTTTATTCCTGCACTAGCTTCACTAGGCTGTATTAATTCAGAGTTTATCTTTTTTTTCTAGTATAAAATGAAAAGATAGCTTCTGAAATAGTAATCTTATGCAGCCAATGCCAAGAATAAAGGTTAATTGCAGATGCATTTTATTTTATTTTCTACAAAAACAATTCGTCAAATCCACATTATTGTCACGTGGATTCTACGAATTTTTATATAAAACCCACGTGACAAAAATGTGAATTTTACTACTATTTTTGTGAGGTTATTCATACACTGGCTACAGCAAAACAGAAGTTCAAGCAATATGAACACGTACATTATCTATTATTTGATAAATATAATATTGAATAATATATATGTGTCATTTACTTACATTACCTGTATATTCTTAAAAGCAGCTATTGTATCCTCCGCTTCGGAAATTCGATCCGCCCATGGCAGGTTATAAACACAGCACGCGCGAACGAACTTTTCAGGCTCGATAATGAACACTATACCGCCGAAGATTTGTGTGTGTGTGGTTTCTCCTTTCCTCTATATTTTTTGAAAATTTTTCGTGTTTTCTCGCTTCTCCCAGATATAAATTGCCCTTCGATCAATTCAAGCACGTGTGCCGTGTGCGTCGTACAGAACGTGTTGCTTACAAGCACTCGAGCGCCGTTTTCAGTGATGCCACTCGGGACAGGCCGAGAGGCAACAGTATACGCGCACACAAGTGCGATCGTCATACGTGTATTACACATACGACGATCGCGCTTGTGTGTGCGTGCTGTTGCCTCTCCCAAGTATGGCATCACTGGCCGTTTTATCTACGTTTAAGGCGTGTTTCTATTTTATACGACAAGGCGCAAGACGGCCGCGGCATAAAGTACGTTTTACATTAGTTACGTCGCAGTTTTAAGTGGAAAATCAAGTAATTGATAGTATAGTTACATCTTGCCACAAGAGGAATAAACGACTAAAAAATGCACATAAAGAAAAAGGTATACTTATAAAATTATTACTTATTATTAGATCTTAGGATCTGCTTTTTATTCCTGCACTACCTTAACTCTAGGCTGCACTAATTCAAAGGTTATCTCTTTCTCCCTATGAGAAATTTTCTTTTACTGGAGGATACACATGATTGTTTTACTAACAATGATAAATTATTAAATTAAGGCCATGTGTAACGAGCAATACGATATTATTTTATTATTGAGAAGAAAATTCTTAATTTGAAATAATAATTATACAAACGTTTCGAGCTCTACTTGCTCCTCTTCAGTGCGCAAAAAAATAGTGATAATAAATAACGATAATAAATAAATACATAAAATTCTAATAAAATCCGTAATACATAGTCAATATAAGTTATATAGTTGAGTCATAGTTAAAACGCAAAATATATTTACAATGAATTGAGACCATTAAAATAGTTCAACAAAGTAAGAACCCAATTAGAAGCAGAATGATTCGTCCGGTTATTCATAAAATATATTATAATTATTAATAAAAACTTGGAGTGACACTTATACATTACTCCAAATGAACCACTTATCGTTATTTGACGAAAGTCCCTCGATCTGGTAATGATTATGTTCATCCTCTCCAAATTATTTGATATTTGTTAACTGAATTTAAAGAATTTATTTAATTGTAAAATAGGATTCCACTAATGTGTATGTGAAAAAAAGATTAAAAATTATAAATTAAACTAACTACTAAAATATTGAACCTTTATGCTTACAAATTGTTCCGAATAACTTGAGATGACGATGCTTCTAATTGTTGTTGGCCTTATTGTTAGTACTTGACTGTTGTCTAGTCTTTTAAAAAGTCGAATAAATAGGTGTCAGATCTCACAAAATAAACATTTACATAAGTCTAAAAATTCGATATTTCTTCTAGAATGTCGAAATACGCGTTGTTAAGCAATTCGGTGTCTGTGTTATTATTTATACCATGCCTTTGTTCCTTGATGTGTATCATTTCCGAGATAAGTCTTTTATAATAATTAGATTCAATATCAAGTATTTTAACGTTATCCCAATCAAAAGCATGTTTTTTATCCATAATATGTTCAGAGATCACAGAATGCTTGGAGGAATCAAATTTAATATTATTCATATGCTCTTTTAGTCTAGTGCGTAATTTTCTTTTGGTTTGCCCAACATACGAAGCTTCACAATCCTTACAATTAATTTTGTAGACAACATTATTATTATTGTTATGCACGTTTTTGTCCTTGTGGACTTTAATTAATTTGTTAAGATTATTTAGACAACGGTATCCTACTCTGAAATCTGATTTTTTTATTGTCGATGCTATTGTCTCAGAAATGTTATTAATGTATGGAATGACGAAAAATTTTTTCTTGCTATTATCTTCTGCAATTTCTTTTTTTCTATTGTTGTTAAACTGACCATTGTTTAAAACTCTTATTCTCTTATTTATTTCTTTAAAGATTAAATGAATATTTATTAATAATTATAATATATTTTATGAATAACCGGACGAATCATTCTGCTTCTAATTGGGTTCTTACTTTGTTGAACTATTTTAATGGTCTCAATTCATTGTAAATATATTTTGCGTTTTAACTATGACTCAACTATATAACTTATATTGACTATGTATTGCGGATTTTATTAGAATTTTATGTATTTATTTATTATCGTTATTTATTATCACTATTTTTTTGCGCACTGAAGAGGAGCAAGTAGAGCTCGAAACGTTTGTATAATTATTATTTCAAATTAAGAATTTTCTTCTCAATAATAAAATAATATCGTATTGCTCGTTACACATGGCCTTAATTTAATAATTTATCATTGTTTTTATTGTCATACGAGCTTGAGCATTGGTATGTGATGTTTTGATTAGGTATCAATTTTGCATTGTTGTTTTACTAATATTTTGTTTAATATTTTTTTTAGAACGAGATACAGACTGCAGTACAAGATAATAAACGTGATGATGTGATTAGTCCGAGCCTTTTATTTCCACGACTGATAAAAAAATCGAAGAAAGGATTAAAAAGTCACGAAAAAAACATACAGTAAACAAAAATGTTAAAACAAATTCAATAGATTTAGATAACAATATAGAAAACAAGCCACCTACTGCATCACTGGCTAGGTATGATATGTGTGAATATTTATTTATTTAATATTTGGTAATAATGTAAATTTCTGTTACATAAATATCTCATTGAAGTATCTTATATTTACAGATTGCAAAAGAAAAAGAAGAACATTAACGAGCAGATTAATATTAACATGCGATCCAAAGCTCAGAGATCAACGTTAAATGGTTGGGATTGTTGGGAATGTGAAAAAGTAAATATTAATATTACATAATAAAATCTAAATAGTTCCCTCTTATTTTATACATTTTTTTATATATATTATAAATCTCTTTATAATATTTATTTTTATATATAATTTCTAGTATTACAAGAGTCTATCTTTGTCTAAAACAGAGTTACAGAAGCGAAAAAATAAATGCTCAAGACATAGGAAGAAATATGAGAGACCACATACACCAAAAGGTATATATAATGTAGATATATTTAATATATATGTTTCTAATATATATATATATATATATATATATATTGGTATATATGTGTGTGTGTGTGCGTGCGTGCGTGCGTGCGTGCGTGCGTGTGTGTGTGTGTATACCTAGCAAACCAAAGTGACAGTAGATATAACATTAGTTTCAATGTCCTACTCAATAGTGTAACTGTTAAGAGTAGGACATTGAAACATTAATACATTAGTTATGTAAAATATATAATAATTTTGTTTTAGGATTTTGGGAACCAGAAATTCCTGAGACACCATTAACCATGCACAACAACAAAAAAATATAATTACTCCGCTATATTTTTATTCAATTCTCATTTTAAATATCATTTTAATGTGGTCGTGTTCTTATATTTTCAAATTATTATTGTAATATTTTATATTAATATTCCATAATTTGCGATTACAACAATTTTATGTGTGTAAACTTTCTTAATAAAAAAAATAAATCATCAGACACAGATTTAAATATTACACGTGCGCAAATATATAAAATATATATAATTATAAGTACATTGTTACATATATATGTATTATTTTAAATTATATATTTCCATTAAGTTGATGGAAACATATGACTAAATATTTTGCAACAATAGTTTCCAACATATTGTAGCAACTTTTATAACAATAAATATGCTACAACATTGTGTTTGTTTACGAAAGCAACTGTTGTCTATATAATGCTCTTACATTGGTCGAAACAAAATGAGCATTGTTTTGGTGATAGCAACATTATGACAACTTAAAGGAAATGTATGTCAAGCAATCATTTTCCTTATTATGCCAAGGAACGTTTGGCTATCTGGGACTGCGTGAATATCTTCGAAATATACTTTTTTCAAACGAATAACTACACTACTGTATATTTATATACGTCTTGCGTCTTTAACGTATAATAAGTACAACAGTGATGCGCTGCAAGTTTGTGAGATTTTCAGCGGAAACTTGCGCAAGCACGCCAAACTGTGACGTCGCTTACGCATGCACATGAAAGTTTCCGATAGGAAAAAATCCCACGGCAATGACAAAAAAGTGATACAATATTAAAAATCTATAATATAAACGTAAACTATAGATTTTTTGTCACTTTATGCGCATAAAATCTTTTAGTATATATTTATATTATTTTATAGCAGTACACATATTTCCATTCAATTGACAGAAATATCGACTAAATATTTTACAGAAACCGTTTACAACAGATAGAGACAACTTTTATGGCAATAAGTACGCTACAGCATTTCCGCTTGTTTGCAGTAACTAGTGTAGGCAACTATTGTCCGTATAATGCCTTTATGTTAACCTAAACGAAATTACTATTAATTAAGAGTTTAACAAGGCTCTGTAATATAAATATAAATTTAAAGATATAAGACAGGCAATAAGAGCCAACTCGCGGATGACAGTGCGTTATCCTAACGAAACTAAATTTTTCGTTAGGATTAAGTATCTGTGCACAAGGCACCAAATTTTTACTTGGTCACGGCCAAGATTTAAAATATGAAATAATCTCATATTTGAGATTTAATTTCAATAACCCTTTCACCCTCCTATGGAAATAAGTAAATAATGAAATTACTATTATATCGATGATAGCAACATAATGACAACTGAATGAAAACTTGTGTCAAGCAACGATTTTTTTTCTTATGCCAAGGAACGCTTGGCTATCTGGGAAGTTTTTTTGGTATATATAATAAGATGTTCTCACGTTGAGAAATAAATTTATTTTCTAATATTAATGCATTATTTCTACCTATTTCGCTCTTGTTACTTTTGTTAGTATTTTCTGAAGTGCTTGATGATATACTGTTCATGTCTATCGAATTCTTTCTTAAACTTGTGTGTATCATTGAAAATATTGTAGAGTTATTATCTGTCCAACTGCTTGAAGTTGATTCAGGTTCATCAATCATTTCTTCAACCAAACATGGTAAAGAAATATCCTGAAAGCAAATTTATTTTTAGCTAATAATTCTCTGCTATTAATTAGAAATATCAAAATTTTTAATTCTAGAATTATGGAGGAATAAAACAAACAAAATAGTTGATCTTAAGATACATATATTACTATTAATAAAAGAAAAATAAAAATATACAAAATATAAATAGAGTTTGAAGAAAATATATTTTAATAATATATATATTTTTTAATGAAAATTAAATAAATAGTCTTACCTCATTTTGATTGCTGAATACTGAATTAATTGCAGGTACTTTATTTGTAGGTAAAGCAACTGTTGGATGTCTTGCTAAGATGTGTTTTCTTAAATTATTTGTTGTGCTTTTGTATAAAATTTTATGTTTGCACATATTACACATTGCAAACTCATTATCAAGAACAGTGAAGAAAATCCATATATCACTAGTTCTTCTTCTTATTTTTTCTTTCGACATCTTGCCGAAAGAAATACGTTGCACAGTGGGCGATAGTAGCGAAGCAACGAGCAAAAATAATATTGTGAACTGATAACGTTTCTTCATATAATCTCTAAAAACTCACCTTTAAAAAAAGGTAAAAAAAGGCGACCAGTTAAGGGCACGCCATTAACAAAAATTATCCATTGCAAACCCATGTAGAATCCTATCCTATTGCAAACCCATGTAGAATCCTATGAAAAATTAACCATTGCAAACTCATGTAGAATCCTATGAAAAATTAACCATTGCAAACCCATGTAGAATTGTATTAAAAATTATCCATTGCAAACTTATGTAGAATCCTACATTGCAAACCCATGTACAATAGAATTGTATGAAAAATTATCGATTATAAACCCATGTACAATCGTAACAAAAGTAATGAAATAAAAAAAAATTGCGCCAAGTGAAAGTAGAAACTTGTACCAGTGGAAAATTAAAGTTGCAGACATATATAGAGTCGTATAATGAATCAGTAAAAATTTAAATTTGCAAATGTAGAATCGTACCATAAAAAAACTTATCTTTTAAAAAAAAAGATAAACAAGATGCCAAGTCCATGCGCCATGTGAAAAAGAAATAAAAAATTTTAGTTAAAAAAACTGGGCGCGCTGCTAAGTTTCAAAATTACAATGCACCTTAAAGTAACATTAATTAATTTAAACACAAAACATATTTTAACTGTAATGAGTTTAAAAGTAACAATTTAATTTTAATATTGTTAGAATATTATTTAGCAGCGCTCCCAGTTTTTTTAACTAAAATTTTTTTATTTCTTTTTCACATGGCGCATGGACTTGGCATCTTGTTTATCTTTTTTTTTAAAAGATAAGTTTTTTTATGGTACGATTCTACATTTGCAAATTTAAATTTTTACTGATTCATTATACGACTCTATATATGTCTGCAACTTTAATTTTCCACTGGTACAAGTTTCTACTTTCACTTGGCGCAATTTTTTTTTTATTTCATTACTTTTGTTACGATTGTACATGGGTTTATAATCGATAATTTTTCATACAATTCTATTGTACATGGGTTTGCAATGTAGGATTCTACATAAGTTTGCAATGGATAATTTTTAATACAATTCTACATGGGTTTGCAATGGTTAATTTTTTATAGGATTCTACATGAGTTTGCAATGGTTAATTTTTCATAGGATTCTACATGGGTTTGCAATAGGATAGGATTCTACATGGGTTTGCAATGGATAATTTTTGTTAATGGCGTGCCCTTAACTGGTCGCCTTTTTTTACCTTTTTTTAAAGGTGAGTTTTTAGAGATTATATCATTCATTTTTGTATATTTTTATGACCGGAATAGAACAATTATTAAACATGTTTATCTAAACTTCTTTGCTTAAAATGATGTGTACAATCATATCCTAGAATCCTGATCATTCCTCCTAAAGCACCCTATTTATATAAATTTACCCATATGTGTGTGTGTGTGTGTGTGTGTGTGTGTGTGTGTGTGTACTAATGTCGAGCATTTTTTATACATTTTCTATTAAATTTAGATAAAAGTTGCAGGATTTCGAAAAAGAAAAAGTTGACACAGACTTTTTCCTAAACGGCGATTTTCAAGGTTATTTAAAGGTCACTTATATTTTCAAAATAGAATTACCTTAATTTTTCTCATATAAATCGATTCCTCGCAATATTTACTATAAAAAGTTGTAAAGGTATAATTTTTACATAATCTTACATAATAAACTTCGAAATATTAAATATTTTTATGTAAAAATATTTCAGTTTATGTAAAATTATGTTAACTATCTTATTAAATTTTTCACTATTTAGCCATCTTACCCTTTGAACCTTTTATTAGTGAATATGCAACAAATGGTTTATATTTATATATATATTTATTCTCATTAATTGATGTTTACATTTATTTTTAGACTTTTTATTATTCATGCTCCACATCAACATAAAACTGTTTATTCTACAGATTTATATGCTTTTAAATGATGATTGATATTTCCTTTCATCTTATCAACTTCTATATTTTTCAATCTACAATCAACTTTATAACTTTATGCCAGCACGATACAAATTCATGTGTTTTATTTTTTTTCATTATTTTCATTATTATTTAACAATCTCAATCGATTCTAGTTTGCTTATACAGCAAAGATAACAAAACATTACGTGGTCTTTAGTTTACATTGTATCAGTCTTGTCTTTTCCATGTAACCATGTCTTCATAGTTTGAATTATCCCTTCATCTTCTAATGTTTTAGATGTTGATTTAATCTAATTAAATACACTTCAAACGAATTTAAAGCTTGCATATATAAATAAACTTTATTATTGTAAAAACATGAATTGTTGGAAAGAATATGTTTACAGTAAAGTCTGTAAGAAGTATTTGTAATTCATTTGATAATTACATGTATATTTATTCGGATATGTTAATATAATTAGAAAGATTATTCTGCAGATGCAAACTAATTCATATAAACGTAGAATGTATGAATTTAGATCTTCTCCTAATATAAAATAGATATTGTACAATTTATTTTCGTATTTTTGCATATATAAATAAAGTTTATTTTTCTAAATTTGGAATATGTTTAATTCTTATTTTTTTTCTAAGTCTTTAATTAAATTTTTCTGTATTCAATAATTCATTGATTTGATAAATACATGTATGTCTTTATTTTGATATGTTTAATATAATTAGAGATTCATTATTAATTAGATATGTAAACTATAAATCATTTATAATATTTGAAGAATGTTAAGTGAATAATTAAATTTTTATCTTCTCCTTCCTCTCCTTCAATCTCTTTAATATCAATATGTGTATGTGTGTACACGCGCGCAAATTTGTACGTATTTATTTAATTATTGGATAGTTGAGAGTACTTAATT